CTCAAATTATACAACTTTGCCTCAGGCTGTGGCACTTTGACCTCCAACTGCATTCTATTGCTGTTTACCTTTCACCATTAACACTGGCATGTGGTATCTACTGGGGAGATGAAATGATAAAGTTAACCCAAGACATTCTATTTCAAACACTGATCCTTTGAAAAATCCTGAGAAATTATTTTGAAAAGATGCTTCCATTTATTCATCCAAGAATAAAACATACAAAATAACTTACTATGAACAAAATAAAGTCCAGGGACTGCAGTACATTCCTTTATTATCCTTCATATGTTACTTTAAACATATATACAGGGAGGAATTTTATAGCAATCTGCAAGATGTAGGATATGGCAAGATTTGTGGCAGAATCACTCAAGTTTTCGCAAGGTCTACCTCGATGTTTGGGGTGTCTCACGGCATCTTACTTGCATTAGCTGAATGACGTGGCAAATTTCTTACCAATATCACTGTAGTTGCCAGTTATGGGGGATTACAGTTGGCTAAACACCTCATTAATGCCACAACTCACCTCATTCACATTCAGCTTCTTATCTTACCAAACACGCTGAACAAACTTGATATTGAGAACTCTCGACATGGAGGTGCCTGGCGACTTCAGCTCACACTGGCTGTGACCAGCATCCCTGGTGTTCAGCATTGAGCAGCAGCTCGGGACTCGATCCATGGCCAGCTGCCCTTCATCCACAGACATTGGTATCAACCATTTGCCAGCCCCTCAGGACCAACGTGGCACCTCTCCAATCCTGACTACTTAGGAAGCACAGACTTGCACTGCAGGGTGCATTAGCAACTCGCACTGAGAGGCTGCTCCAAGAGCGCACCTTAGACATACTGACAAGACCCAGCTCAGGGATTGGATCAGGCTGCATCATTCAGCTGCCTGCTTGCTCACTTAGCGCTTACCCGCACGCTCACAGCATCCTAGCCTTGCACTGCCACACCTATTAGCACAATCACAGAGCCTGGCACCTTGCCTTGCTGGTCACCAGTGCTCAGTCAATGGGGGAATGGGCAGGGCATGCATCTTATTGGATGGTAGTGTATGTTACATCAGTTTCAGAGCTAGCCCAGCAGCTTATGCAGCTAATGCACTGCATATGCAGTAATCAAGCAGCCATGTCTCAAAGTCGTACAGACTAAAGGCCATGGATGCACCCATCAGACAAAGGGCCCTGGTACATTAACTCATGGGCAGCATCCAACAGCTGACTTAGAAGTGCTCACTGTCATCTCTGATCATGCTGGAAATCAAATGTACATAGTAGGAAAGAAAATGCCTGTGTCCACGTGTAAGAGTGGGCAGGGTAGCTTTGGTGACAGGCTATAAGACTCACTGACATGATGCTATTTAATTGGAAACAACATTACAGACATTTCTGAAGAAGGGTCTAGGCCCAAAACGTCAGCCTTCCTGCTCCTCTGATGCTGCTTGGCCTGCTGTGTTCATCCAGCTCTACACCTTGTTATTACAGATAGAGCCATGTACTGTACAGGGCACAGGGCCTGCGATTCTAACACATTGGTTCTCTGTATGCTGAGCAGCTCCCTGCCCTAGACATCAGTGAGCACCTCACTCACAGCAACATCTTTGGAGACGTAGGCAGAGCCGCGGTACATCCGATATGCAAATGCAAGTGAACGAAGGGTCTACGCTCCAAAATCTTGTGATTTCAAATAAACCTGTTGGACTATAACCCGGTGTTCTGTGACTTCTGACTTTGTCCACCCCAGTCCAACACCGGCACTGCCACATTGAGAGGAAACAGCAGCAAGAGTGTGTGTCATGTCCTTCTGTGGCTATGTCCTCAGTTCCGGGGCTGGGGCAATGGGCCTGGCTCTCCTTGGCAGTTGCCAACCTGTTGACAGAAGCAGACAGACCATTGAATGACTGACTGCACTGTATAACTTCTCGGCAATGAAACCTCCTGCTTCCCAGATAGCTATGTGCCGCTCCTGTCCTCCCTGCCCATGTGGATGAAGTCCCTAATTGCCATCAGGCCTTCTTCTGCCTGGGGCTAAACAAGAGCCTGGTCTCTGACAGTCCTCTGAGTGCTAGCGGCCTGCGCCATTTCTTCCTCGGCCAGCCACAGGGCTCTCTCAGTCAGTTGCCCAGCAGATTGTCTTTCCACACTTTCTAGTAAGAAACGTTCCTCTGGGGGTGTCGGAATCTGGCCTGGTGTGGGTTTGCAGGAGGCAGCCTTCCACATCATCCCAGTACTCTTGTCCTCAGAGATGATGGAGGTTGTTTCTGGTGGAGCTGGCCGATTCCTTGAGGAGATGGTAAACATCCCACCATTACCCCAATGAAAAGTGGGGGGGGGGGTGTGTGTGGCACAGCCGGTGGATAGAAGTGATGTGCAATGAATGACACTGAAAGAATTGCAGTGGAAAGGGCTGGTAAATGCTCAGTCAGTAGCTGATGCTGGATGAGTTGTTCATTTTAAATCTGAGAGGGATTAATTTCTGTCAAGCAAAGGCAGTATGGTGGCTCAGTGGTTAGCACTGCTGCTCACGGTGCCAGGGACTCAGGTTCGATTCCAACCTTCGGTGTCTGTCTGTTTGGAATTTGCACGTTCTCCTTGTGTCTGCATGGGTTTCCGCCAGGTGCTCTGGTTTCTTTCCACAGTCCAAAGATGTACAGGTTAGGTGGATTGCCCATGCTAAATTACTTCATGCAGAGTTAGGGGGTGGTGAGTGGGTCTGGCTGGGATACTCTTTGGAACAGCCTCGATGAGATGCATGGCCTCTTTCTGCACCACAGACATTCTATGACATTCTTCTTTTCTTAAGAGATCTGACCTAAAGGCAGGCATATGGAATTGGTCTCATTGAATGATGGAACAGGCTTGAGGGGCTGAATGGCCTCCTCCTGTTCCTACGTTCCCAGCACCCCCACAGAAGTGGTCCTGGTCACCTCCTGCAAGGGCCAGGAGTCTGTCTTTGTGGGACCTGAGGAGCTGAACGTCGTGCATCTTCCACCCACCCGGGTCCTGTCTACTCCTAGTGGGCTGTATTCTCCTGGGACGACAGAAAGGGAAGAATGGAATGAGGAGTAAATGGTTGGCACAGCTATTTGTGGTGGCAAAGGTGGTCAAAAGGTGGTGAGGTGTCTCAGGCAAGTAAGTAAGCAATGCAGAGTTCATGCAGGGTTAGTGATGTCTGAGGATTGGGTGGGGGTGAGCCACTAAACAAGGGAAGCTGTTGCAGGTGATTGTGAGAGGTACGCAGCATGGGCCTTGGTGTGCAGTGGGTGCAGTAGCAGAGATAGAGAGAGTGTGAGGTTGCAGAAAAGAGTGCGGCACTTACCCTGTCAGAGCAGAGAATGTCACTGACCTTCTTGTGGCACTCCTGGCCATTCCTCCATACTGTTGGGATGGCACTGACCCATGGGGCAACTGCGAAACAGGCTGCCAGCATCTGGTGGCATGGCCTCCTCCACTGGTCTCCCAGGAAGAGAATGCCTCTCCTCTGCACCACCTCCTTCACCAGGATGCCAGGGCCCCAAGTTGGAGAAAGGCAGTGCCAGCTTCCCCTTCTCAGATCCTGTCTTTGACCAAATAGGGCAGTTCCGGAAGCCAGTGCACGTCCAGGTGTACAGTGGCCTTTTAAAAGTAGCACAGGCACCAGGGATTCCAACATCACTACAGAACTGACACTATCAGAAGGACTGGAAGTTGGGACGTTACTGCACTAAGGACATTATCACGTAATTTAATCAAGAAATGGAGAGTCTGTTGTCACAACCAAATGCCCCAGACCACCATCCAGTCACTCCTGTCACAGAAAGAGATAAATCTTTCACTTAAAGATCAGATTTGGAGCCAGAGGTACCTCACCTTGGTGGAACGCATTGTTTTCACTTGTGGAAATGACATCAACACTGAGAAAGTGTGCCTGAAACAAAAAGATTACTAAGCACTGAATATCCAGCTGGATAGCCCCAGAAAATAGGTTTATGATATTTCAAAAAAGATCACCATAAGAAGGACATGGGTGAAGGGTTTGGCACTACAACCAGGAAGGAGGGTCAGGATCAGTCAACCTGGTCCGGGAACCTACTGTTCCCATCGGAAAGGCTGACTTTTTGAAGGATTTTTTGTTGTCAGCTGAATCTGGAGAGTATTGCGGTTGAGAGGTTAACCCGAAGGTAATAAACAGATCCAGGTTTGCGTCCGAATTAAGTGAAGTTTAGGGCAAAAACATGGGGTTTCTTCCTGTGGCTTGTCAGAGACAGTTTTCTTTGACCTAAGAAAACTTTATCAAATTTTAAATTTAACGTTGATCTCGCTCTTAGTGCACCTTCTCTATAGCCGTAACACTGTACTCCTTGCTCTGTTGTATTACCCTAATACACTTTTGTATGGTATGATCTGCCTGTACTGCATGCAAAAACTTTTCACTGTACCTAGGAATATGTGACAATAATAAATCAGATCAAACGACAGTACAGGCAGGTTCAACTGGTGGATTAAAGAAGGCAATGGATGATTATTTGTATTGAGATGGTATGCAGCGATTTGGGCAGGACATTGGCCCTAGATAAGACAAACACTGCAGCCATAATGGGCTGAATAGCCTTTTTCTGCACCATAACATTCTGCGATCCTATGATAAGATATGGTAACATTGGTGTTATGCAGGAGGACAGCTGAGGTTCAGTCGTGGAGGGGTTTAAGTCAGACAAACCAATTGAGATCGTGTGATATAAACCAGTGTAGACGTATGTTTGAAGCATGGTGTCAGGTTGATTTTGTTTTAATAAACATGCTTGAGCTTGAATGAAATCCTGCATCTGTGCAATTTGTATAAAATGCTGAAGCCCAAGAACCATTGTAAGGAAGAAATGAGAATGCAAACTATTTCCACGTGGTCTTTTAAACATGCAAATAATTCTGTTAACACATCTGTTAATAAAGGAAGATAACATGTTTTATTTCCCTTCCTTCCCATAGGTTCCATTTCCAAATGGCTCTTCCTACCTGAACAAGTAAAATGCCAGCAGCAATGCACATCCCAACAATGAGCCGACTACAATGCCAGTGACTGCAGACTCTCCAAGCCCACCTACACAGAACAACACAAGTGGTTACTGTTCATATTAAGAGTTTGTTCAGATAAAATAATACTGCTATTCAGAAAATGCATTTCTCTCGTAAGTATTCTTGGTTAACATATTAAATATATAACAGTTGCTTATAATGGTTGCCTTTTGTCGATCCATTTCAAATTTTGTTAATACTCCAGTTTGAATTAAAAATGCTACTCCCCAGTTAACATACTGCTTGAACTCAATGCCAGTTAAAAATGTCACTGCAGATTGATTCCAGTTAGTCCGAGGTAATGTAATACCATTCACTCAACATGTTAATCGACATTCTGGTTTGAGAAAGCGTGCACTGCAAAATACAGTCCCTAAATCAGTTTAAAAGGGGGGGAAATGTTTAATGTTTGAAGAGAAATTACATGATTTACAGGTAGCAGAATGTTCCTTCGTAAAGCCACAGCTAGGTTCATCTGGAGGTGGCATTCCATTTGCCCAAAGAAGCCTTACATTTGGCCTGAGTTCAAAGGTTCCATTCAAACCATAGTAGTCAGCTATTACCTATAATCATAGAAACACAGAAAGTATAAGGACTTGGGCAATTAAAATTCATTTCACTATGTTAAAGCCTACAGTTATTTCATGCAATTCACATCTATAGTATCCTATGATGTCTCTTGTTTATTTCTTCTCTTTGTTTTTTTTTACTGTCAGGAATTCAGCTGAAAGACCACTGAGTAATTTTCACTCCCACAGACTGCCACAGGATTTACTTGAAATGTGTGCACTTTTTTTGTCAGCTGTGACTCAGTAGGTAGCAGTTTTACCTCTGAGTCAGACTGTTGTGGGTTCAAGTCCCACTCCAGGACTCAAGTCCAAAAATAAAAGCTGACACTCCAATACTTGCTGAGGGAGCGCTACACTGTCGGAAGTTACCATCTTATAGATCCAATGTTAAACTGATACTCTGTCTGCTCTCATAGGCGGATGGAAAGAATTCCATACTATTTTGACAAAAAGGGAGGACGTTATCCCTAGAGTCCTGGCTAATATTCCTCCCTCAATCAGCCTGATAAAAATGGATTGCCTCATCATTATCATTTGGGAGAGTCATAGTATTGCAAATTGGCTAATGTACAGCTACATCACATCAGTCAGTCCACTATAAAAGTAATTCATTGGCTGGAAGGTCATGTGGTCATGAAAGGTGCAATACAAATGCATATCTTTTCTTTAATCACACCACTGCTCACTGTGAGATTACGTATGGTGGAGGTTTGCTGGGCTGAGGAAGAATGTACATCATTTCTGAAAGGATTTAGAAAGAAGCTGGAGAAATATATATTTTGGCAATAAATATTTCATTTAGTCTCTTCAAGAAGAATCACAGAAAATTACACAGGTGGATATCACTGGATACTTTGTCCCTATGCCACTGCTAGCTCTGCATCAGATACACCCTGGGCCAGATTTTGCTATTGAGACAAGTTGGGACATGTCCTGATTCACAGTCTCCTCAGTTGAAGTACCCAGTTGCACAAAAATTGCACTCCAGGGAAGGTGTGTGTGGCATCTCAGTCGATATTAGCTGAGCCAGACTGGTTAGAAGGACCAAAGTGGTTCTCTGGGACTTTGTCCCAGTTGTAATAAAAGTAGTCAGGCCGTCCAATCCCATCCCTCCTATTCACCCCTCATTGGCCCCTGTGCTTACTGTGCCAATATATGTCCATCCCTGCCAACCAACCACCTGACCTCTTATATATTCCAGTCAACTTAGAACCCAGCCATTCCCCAGGACCCCTCATATTGTTCATGCCAACTATGTCCCCTAAAAGACCATTCATCCACTGTGCAGTCAATGAGCCATGTAATAAAAAGAGCAAATGTGGAAATGCTGGGTGAAAAAAACAGTCACTCATAAATCTCCTTTGGGGGAAAAACAAACTGCTCTTCCTACAAATTTATAATAGTGTTGAACAAACAAAATATTAAAGTATCAATGATAGAAGTTCAAAGTACTTCACAGTTTAAATATTCTCCATGTAAACAATAAAACATTGACAAAAAATCACAAAAAAACAACCTTATTATACTCACTTAAAGACGCTAAAAAGCAAATTCAACGATTCTCTTCAGTTATCAAACAGAATCGCTAATGATCTAATGCTTTTAATGGGTGGAGCTTACAGCTGACAATTTACCCAGTATAAATGCAAAGTAGTAACTAATTCTACCGAAACTGTGATGCTCCAGTGCTAAGTAATGGCCCAAAAGATGAACTGTTTGTAAATTTTCTTTTATAATCCTTTTATGCCTTAAAATGGTCATAAACTGGAAAATAAAATTCATCAATTAACAAGCAATTAATAAAAGTAGTCAGACTTTTGGAACCAAGTGGCTGCTAAAATGCATTAGCCTTACATAAACAAACACAATCTGTGAACTCTGTGCTCTAGGAGTGAGAGGGAAATGTCAAAGTTTGGGTTTCCCTGCATACTATGGAGTTTTAACATTTAATGGATAACCACTGGAAGTCAGCCAAATACATAGATTGCTTTTCCAGGGAGGGAGCTTTTTGGCAGAGACTGCAAGATGTGATAGGTATGATCTCTGATTATAGGGGCTACTTGGAGAGGTTGGAGAGGGTGGTGGTGAGGGGCATGTGGGGTTTTCCTGGTAGTGTGACGATGGAAGGATGGAGGTAGAGTGTTTGGAGGGCTGCATGATCTGGTTGGAGGCGAGTGAATTTGTGGGGCTGAGCGAGAATTCCTGTTCATCCTGGCCCACAAAAAGAGCTATGCCTTTTCGCCAATTTGCTGTCTTTGCTTCATTTCAGTCGTCTAGTCTACTGAGGGCCTGAAAAACAGCTATGAGCAAGATAAATTCAAGATTTCTAGCCTCATTAACATTTAAAATGCTAATCTACCTCCAGGGAGTGTTTTGTCTGTACATCCTTGGCCTGGCATCATTTACACTCAAAAGTGAACAACTTTAAATTGTTACACAATACAGTGGGGAATTTGCAGTTAATCCTTCCCATTTAATTTCTTCCTTCATTTTATTACTAGTGACTACGTTAAAGGAAATGCCCACCATGTCCAATGTTTGAGTTAAAAACACGTCATTAACCAATCATTAACATTAACACATCTGTGTATAACCAAAAATACCAAATTGCTAGCCTTTAAAAATAAGATTCCAGGAATTAATATTTCCAACTAGTTTTATCTTGCAACAATATTCCAATTTGTAAGTAATTTGGTATTTATGGTAACTATATACAGCAATCTAATTTTTAACAGCAAAGTATTCCGTTGCAAATATGCATCATGGCTGCTGATGCACATCACACAAATGATACAGAAATGTCACTGCTTTACTTGCCTCTTGATTTCCTGTTCCAGGTTCCGTCATTGCTATCACTGAGAAATCTCCATATCTGTCCCCATTGGCATCAATTGATACCTGGCCTGCTATGCCTGATAAATGGAATGCATCAAATGATTAAATCAATTAGCTGGAAAGGTTCTTCAATTCCAAATGAAACAAGAGATGCTTCAACAGATTCATGAAGAAATATACAACAGGAAATCCCATTCTTCTTCCAAAATTTTTGTTGGCGTTCCCAAAGAAATTGTCATTTTTTTTCCTGAAGTCTGTGTTCATTCCAGATGCCATATTTTTTTCTAATTTAGTTCGCGAAACACTAGATAATTCCAGCTATTAGAATACATGATTTTTTTAAAAACAATAATTAACATTGGAGGCATTAAAACTATTTTGCCATTGTTTTCTTTTAGGCATAGGGATTCTGAATAGAAGCCAATTCAAATACAAATTTGTCTGAAATATGTTTGGACAGACAGAGAAAATTCCACCACACTCCCTTTGGTCTACTATGATGTGTTTCTCAAACAGGCCATGAACTGTGTCCCTTCCAAAGTTCAACTGTTGAAGAGTTCACTGACAACTGTAAAGGACAGCTCAACAATTTGCTTACCCCTAGCCAAGCCAGATCATTTGGATGCTATCACCTATGCCCAGGTATGTCTGTGTGACAATAACCCACCATAATAAAATACCAATGCCACATTAACTCCATACAGCTTTACCAGTCCATGCTGTGAGAAAAATCTGGTCTACAGGCAGTCACAAAGGAACTTCAGGAATGTTAGGAACAGGCGTAAGCTATTCACCCTTTACAGCTTGTTCTGCAATTCAATCTGTCAATGGCTGATCTGAAATTCAACTCTATTTACATGCCTCTTGAATTTATGCCTAGAAACCCATACCTAGTAAAACATCTAGTCCCAGCTTCCATACTCTCTTGGTTCCAGATTTCTACTACCCTGTGGGTGAAAAAACTGCTTCCAAAATTTTCTTGTGAAGATCTACCTCTAATGCTCAGATTATTTCTCTTTGTTCTTGATTTCCTACAAGAGAAAAACAAAGCTTCTCTTCATATCTTCAGCTCTTTGGATATCTGAATCAACTTGATCAGATCACCCCAAAATTTTGTATACTCAAGGATATACAAGTCAATGTTATGTAATGCGCTCTCGTAATTTAATCTTCTTAGACCTGATATCTGACTAATTCGTACTTTAGAATTGTTTTGATGATATGTTAGCAGTGGAAGTAAGAATCCTCTGTACAGAGGATGCCCATGATGGAATGCACTATGAGAATAGGGAACAGCTAAAGGCCTGACTTTGAGAAGCAGGTATCAGTATGGATCTGCAAAAATCGTCAGAATGATCACTAGAAATCCAAAGCGCATGTACTAGGCTGATTGTCAGAATAACTGTGTTGTCTTCCGAGCAAAGGTTAAATGGGCTGGGTCTACACTCACTGGAGTCAAGAAGAATGAGAGGTAATCCTTTTGAAACAATCACAACTCTGAAGTGGCTGGACAGGGATTTTCTTAATATGTAGCACATTTCTAAAATTGTTTCTAAAGAGTGGACTTGTGATTTTCTTATACAGAGTACACAATGGAAATCTTACACCAGGATTTCTGAGAAATGTTATATGAGAAAAACCCACAAATGAATTACAAACAATTTGAGTAAGTCAACCCTTGCCAGTCCACAGAGTAGTTTTATAACGATAGTGTGAAACTGACAATGGCCCATTGTTGTAATTTCTCAATTAACATCCTGTCGACCTAATACACCATTACTATGTTCCAACAGGCTGAATATTTTAAATCTTTGTTTGTGCACAAACTCTTTATGCTCACTGTACTGCCATGATGTAAACTCCAGCTCAATATCATAGATTGAGATTTGTTGGGCAAAATTTTGGCTGGGGCCAGAAATGTTTGTTGGCAGCACCCAGTCAACCAGCGCCCCCTTAATTTTGCGAGTACCAGTCTGTGATTAAACTAGTACTGAGTTTGGCCTCCAGAGGCCGGCAGCTCAAGGGTCTCAGCAGCGTCACCAGAAACAGTGGCTAATGTTGATTTTGATGTTGTTTTCCCTGATGCTTGGACTCAGAGGTGCTTTGTTTTAATAATCCATGCAATGGCTTTGAAATCACATCACATTTTATCTTCAGAGTAGAGTAACAAGTCCTAATAACCAGATATTTCATTACCTTCAAAGGTTGTATTCCACATGGTCTGTACAATTTTTGATCCATTGGTTTTGCTGTATCCTTGCTTCAGGACTTCCTGCAGTGCTTTTGCATACAGCACAATGGCATCATGGAACCCCTCCACAAACATGTTTACCTGCAGACAACACAACCAGTTCATGCAAGCAGAATGTAAGTGCTGGTTTGATAAGCTTGAATACAATTTGAAAGTAAAGTTCACAACTTTATACTATCTCCAGAGCCATTTCAAGACCGGATTCTTTGTGCTATTGTTTTCCCTGTGGTACATTTAATCACAATATTATAAATTACCTGACAGTTTTTTGCTTATGCTTCTTTTACTCTTCAATGGCCCAGAATTAGTAAAACTTCAATTTCCACTTTAGTTTCTAATCCTGAAATACTTTCTTTGCCAGTTTAATGGCTGAATTTTCATTTTTCTTGCCTGCTTATTAGTTTCCAGCATGAAGTCTGTGGTAAAACAGTGACATTTGTCTGAAGGTTAGAGGCTTGCACAAAATTGAGACATACCTCATTTACATAACACCGATGGACTGTAGATATAGCAATCAAGCACCATGATTCAGCCGATAAGTCTGTACTTTCTTCCAAATGATCACGTGAATACTGAGTATGCCCACAGTTAGATCCTCGGCTTAAGGTGGCAGGAGGGCTGGGAATCAATCATACTGGGACACAAATGGACTGGAATTGACTAGCCATGTTACTGTGGAATCATCAATGAACACATGGAATTGTTTAAGAAGTCCTGTGTTATGGACAGTGTTCACATGAAAAATGTGAGCAAAGCATGTGTGGCACAGTTTGTGCTGAATTTGGGAAACAGGTCCTAAAAGTTTAGTCTCCAGTTATCATTTTAAAATAGTCTGATAACTGCTTTAAGTGGGCACAGGCATTGGGAAGCATTGGCTACTAACTCAGCAACTGTCACACCACAAGGAAGGCACAGGAGGGGTGGTTGGACAATGTACTTGGGATGTTGTGTCATGAAATTAGTCCTGCCCACATGTCTATTTTTAAGTATGATGCAGACCAATTTCTTCCCGAATATGCATTATTGTGATTCAGTAAGGGGCGGGGGGGTAGTTTTTACATCTTGCTAACTATTTGCTCCTAGGATTAAGCTATTGCTTTGAGGTAAGATGCCTAAAGTTGAGCCTGTTAACCAGGCCTCTCCCTTACAAAAGTGTTTTCACTGGGCACATCCCAATAGATAGCCAAATAGATACAACTAGCTTGCTGCAGGGTTTAAGTTACATCAGAAAACTTTAAAGGATACAAAGATATAAAAAGAATAAGGAATAGAATCTTCATCAATCACCCTCCTCATGTAATGCATACTTTATTCCTTCAAATTACTTAATTTTATGGCACAGGTTAATAATTGTAGATACACCCTACAAACAGATACTTACCTCAGAAGGAATGTTTAGGTCTTCGGAGTCGCAAACTTCTCCCTCTAACCTCAATCACAACGGCCTTAACTCCCTCTTACTACAAAGTACCATTCCTTTAGTCTCTATTAGGGACCTGCAGCCTGCAGACATTGTGCTCCTCGCTGGATGCTGTTTTTGGATGGCCATGCCTGATGAGGCCCGGGAGTTAAAGCAGTTGCTGTAAGCTAATTCAATGGGAAAGTGACCACAATCAGATCGATTTGCCCATTTACCACCAACTGAAAGTCAATGGAAATGAACATCAAGCTGCAAGCAAACAAGTGAAGTGTTCACTTTCTCACTTGTAAATTTAGGATAAAATTACCCCCCAAAATCTCCTGGAGCCTCACAATGATAATATTAGGGGTAGGCAATGGCCTAGTGGTATTATCATTGGACTGCTAATCCACAGACCTAGACCACATTCTGGGAATCACGGCTGATGGTGGAATTTGAATTCAATAAATATCTGGAATTAAAAATGTAATGATGACCGTGAATCCATTGTTGATTGTTGGGAAAAACTCATCTGGTTCACTAATGTCCTTTAGGTAAGGAAACTGCTATCCTTACCTGGTTGGGCCTACACGTGACTCCAGACCCACAGCAATGTGGTTGACTCTGAACTGCCCTCTGGGCAATCAGGGACGGACAATAAATGTTGCCTAGCCAGTGATGCCCTCATCCCATGAATGAATAAAGAAAAAAAATTAGGAAGGTTAACAATGACCTTGACCCTCACAGAAATCCTAATCCTTACCTTGAGTTAATGGCGAGTAAAGTATCAGAAAGAAAAATCTGACACCAGAGTGTTCTGAATTTCTTCAGAAAAGCACTCATAATTTCCCAACCCACATTAGTATATCATGCATGCAGCTAATCAAAGATTAAAGTACGTTTCTAAAGTTTAGAATGTGTAACTAAAATGGTAAACATTGTCCTTTCATCAACTCCTAAAACGTAAATGATCCTTAACATAAGAGATAGTAGGAACTGCAGATGCTGGAGAATCCGAGACAACAAGGTGCAGGGCTGGATGAACACAGCAGGCCAAGCAGCATCATAGGAGCAGAGAGGCTGACCTTTTCTGATGAAGGGTCTAGGCCCGAAACGTCAGCCTCTCTGATCCTTAACATGTTGGGTTTCTTGAATTCCATGAACAAATACATCTTCCTCAGTCTTTTAGACAACTATTGTATGCAAGATCTTATAAAACTCGACCATCAGAGGATTTCACACTTTGAAGATTTTCTTTCAAGCATCAAAAGTCATTTTCAAACAACTGTATATTCAGACCTCCATGAGACTTTGTTTCATTCTTAATTTACTTAGTGTAAGTAAGCTAAGAATTACAGAACGAGCTGAGACGGAGTAAATGAGCAGGCAAATGAAATTTACCATAGAAATTTTGTATGTAACAGGTAGCATACGTTCACCATAAATGGTGTTGAAATAGCCAGAAGTGAAGGTTAAAGAGATCAATACTAAATGTGCCCTAACAGACAACAGAATGCCAAATTTTCCAGCCAAAGAGGTAGAATGCAGGTCAGAAAATGTAAATGATCAGTTTTTGTGGCATTCTGATCAGATTGCACCCTAAAATCTTGCATCCAACTTAAAACATGAATCTTGGTAGACAAAGGTGCAAAATGTAATCAACCCTGCTGATAAGATGTTAACTTTTGTCTCAAGACAAATTAAATAAAAAGAGGAATACATCAGCTTTGCAGTGCGTTGGTCAGGCTGCGTGTGAGTAGTTGTTCAGCTTTGGGCACAGAACCTCAGGAAAGATATACTGGATGTGAAAAAAGTGCAACACAAATTTATTAGAGTTATACTAGGATCACTGTTCATGTGAATGGTAGTTGAATGTTATCTATGCCCTACAATATCAATCAAATGCTAAAGAGGATCAACAATGGGCTGAAAATGTAGCACAGAACAGAGTCTCAAAATACAGAGCAACATTGAATCCAAGTATTATTTTAATGGCATTGAGGCAGATTTTTTTTAAATTGGTGAAGTCAGGCTCACTTCTAATGTTTTTATAATAATATAGCCTAAGAAAATGCATTCTGTTTTAAGAAGTAAGTCTCTCATTCTTGGAAATTAATTGAATACTTTTAATTCCCCGGCTGCTTGTAATGCCAATTCTAATCATAAATTGCATAAAAGAATGGCCAGCATGGAAGCCACTGTACAATAAGTCTGGGTCGTAGCAATTATGTCTAATGTCCACAAAGACATTGCATACATTCCTTTTAACATGGTCTCCACACTTGTGCAATTTTCGTGCCAAATTCAAATCCGAGGCCGCTGTAATTTAATCTAACAGAGGAAAATATATAACTTCTAATTTTTACTGCCTTCCACAATGTTGTGTTTTGCTTTGGCATGTGTCTATCAAATAAAAGAAAAATGTAGTGTTGTGTAATGGAGCAAAAGGAGAGTAATTGTGCACAGTAGGTGATATTGAATTGGCGACAGGTTACACACAGTGCTTTAATATTTAGTTCCATTCCCATCAATTAATTACAGCCAGCAGCCAAATAGATATTGCCCATTTTGTGCCACTGCCTGACACAAATTTCTACCCTTTGATCTTGAGAAAATTCTCTTAGTTTCTTCTCAAAACCTCACTCTATTCAACTTAGGATGAGCTGACGAAGATCATGTCAAGGACTGCTCTTGAATATACAGTTTCAAACCCAGTGTTGTTTCATAGCAGAGATAACAAGGTGTAGAGCTGGATGAACACAGCAGGCCAAGCAGCATCAGAGGAGCAGGAAGGCTGATGTTTCCGGCCTAGACCCTTCTACTAGCCCAAGTTCCCACCTAACAGTGGCCTGACACAAGATACCCAAGCAGTATAAGAAGTAGGGGTCAGCTTGGTCCTCCATCCTTTCATAGGTAAATATTCATGTATGAGTGAATGTGACACCACTTGAAATCTAGAAATTTAGTTTAGATACAAATCATCTTCATCCAAATGCTTGCTTGTTACAAATGCATCTGAACAAATATGTTGTTAAAAGGGTACATTAAAAGTTTAAATAGGAGCAAAATATTGTCGATGGTGGAACTCACAGAAAATTCTGGAGAAATTCAGCAGATCTGGACCATCTGGAATGATGCAGCAACAGAGTTAATGTTTCAAGTCCAAGATAATTTTTCTTCAGAACTGAAGAAAAGTCTGTTGTGAAAAAGAGTCATCTCTCCACAGATGCTGCCAGATCTGCTGAGCTTCTTCGGCATTTTCTGTGTATGTTATTTTGGACAGGCGCTAAGAAATTTTATAAGGTTCTCCAATCTCATGAGATCATTTAATCGAACAATCTGCAGACACACTGAGGAAATGGTGAAATCTTACACTTGTAACAATGACAGCCAATTCTATTCAAATACATCATTCACAGATATATACATGCATGTATGATTATATCTATTATATATGTACTTGGTCAATAAATAAATGGGATTAAATATTGGCACTGTATATTGCCCTGTTTTGGAAGGGGCAGAGGCACACAGTAAACATATCATATATTTTATAATGATCAATGTAACCAGACTAAAGATGGCTGGATAGATCCACAACATACTACCCAACGCAGAGCATGTGTACAGGTGCAGATTTTGAATTTTATGAGATCCGAAATGCATAAGAATCTACAGTTTT